GGACTATACTTACGCTTCTCTACCAATCTCAACATAGCCATGGTTGTCATTTGTTGGTCTGGCATACTTATTTTTTGTTTCACTTGGCAAGGCAAAAAATTTTGATGACTGTTTAAATGCATTATCAATCTGCAACATAAAAGAAATGAAATTACTGTATAATATGGTAATATCATGATTTTTAAATTACATTTTACCATTTTTTTTTCTAATTTGAATACATCAGAAACAAAGTACAATGAAATTGTCAACAATAATAATAATATAAAATGTGGTAAATGAAATCATCACTTTGTACGATTTTGAGTAGAAATTGAAATTGTTTCTTGCTTTGTTGAATAATTTACAGTTTATCAAATGGTGTAAATTCATCTTAGCAATGAGAACAAATACTACATGTATTTCTAATGGTTTATTTGATTGTGTCATGGTCGGTAGTATGGGAGGAGAGAGGAGAAGTTTTAATCCAGATTTATATCTTTTATTTCAAGCTTTATCATCATTGTCTATTTTTCCTTACTCAACAAAACAGGTTTGACTCCTGAATTTTAGAGCTGAATAATAAACTTGCTCTGAACATGAAAAATGAGGAAGCAGTAAACATGCACAGCACGGTTCATATGGTTATAGGTTACTGGTAAGACCTGTCATCGAAAATAAAATAGTTGTTTTCCCAGCATGAGTATAGATGAAAGACTGCTCTGTAGCAAAATTGTTTCAGTTTGAAAACGAATAAAAACACATCTTGTTGTCTCAGGAAGTATTTAAAAGGGTTAAGTGGGGCTTTATACTCTTTCAGATAAACTTGGTCAATTACGTGCACTGATCTACGATGTGAAAAAAACACATGACTTTTACGCAATAGTTCCACCATTTTGTTTTTAGTCTATTCCTGACAAACTGACTTTTAATCACATTGTGCGTGTGAAATATGATGTTAGGACCCTGGTAGAATCCTGGAAACTTCTTATTGATAGAATATCTGTATTTTGGTCAAGATGTGCAATTTTGGTGTCAATTTATCTCCGATAACTTTTACTGCTTTCGAGCTAGACTGAATTGCAACCAAGTACCAATAAATAAATTAAAGTGATCATGAAAAAACAAAAATGTCCTCTCTTCTCCCCTAATACCTTCCATGGTTGTGCGCACCTTTTTTTATATTGCCAGTTTATGACTGAATTTTGCAGTCATTTTAACATGATTCTTTTACATGTAATATGTATATGTATTCCTCCTCTTCAAGTTTATTTTTTAAAGTACTGCAATGTATATGTATGTAATTTGTCATTTTAATTTTTGTTTTTATTATTCCAGTCTTTCTCATATTTTTTTTAATTGATGTTTTTTATTTCTGATTTTTCAAGCATTGTTAAGCATGAACTATTTTTTTGTTTACTTGCTTGCTTAATTTCTCCATGTATTTGTAACCATAGACTTTACCAATGAGAGGTTCTCCACCAAGCTTCATTTTACATATTATTTTGGTGGATTTGTTCCCTACATTAATAATTTTGTGACAGAATTACAGGTGAAATTTTTCAGTCTTGTTTTATCCCAAGTTAGTTCGGTTAAGAAAGATACCCCACATTTCACAAGCATATGTCAATATTGGTATTTGTGTTGTATTAAAAAGATTTTCTTTAATTTTTTCAAAATTTTTTGATGTTGCGTATATTTTGGATTGTATCATTGTTACTTTGTAAACTTTATCAGCAAACCTATCTGTTGCGAGTGTTATTGAGCCAGTTGATTTGAAAAAATAACTTCTAAATAGATGTATTGTTCCTCAATATTAATTAGTTTTACTAGTTTTACATCAATTAATGCAGAATATAATGACTTGTGTCTTTTCTATAATGTCAGTCCCAACTGTTAGTATACTCACTGTTTTCTATACTGAATCAAACATTTTTTGAGGTCTACAAACAACAGTAAATTTTCTTTGATCCAGTTTGATAGAATGGAGAGTTAGAACATGATCCACTATCCAATGTTTTTGACGAAATCCAGCCTGATATGGAAGTATTACATTCTACAAAATGTGGGTATTTTGATATTCTGTTATTTGGGAATTATAATCATACTATTAAAACACTTTGGTAATTACGTTTCCATGGTAATTGTTTGTATCTCTCTGGCTTTCAAAAATTCTTTTTTATGGGCAGATGCGATGAAACTTGTACTCCATATTTTGAGATAAATTCCTGTATCCAGAACATAGGTGTATAATTTCTGTAACAATTGTTTCACTTTTTTGTTGCTGTATTTCAGCATTTCACTAGCTACATACTTTCTGGTAAAATTGCTTTATTGTTTTTAAATCCTTTCAATGTTTGTACGATTTCTGTCAGTTTTATTGGATAATTTATGGCAAGGTTGTCTTTCATTTCACTTTCTTTTTTATTGTTCTAACTTAGACTATTTCTTTTATTAACACATTTCTCCCCAATTAGTAATGTAGGTTCGGGGGCAATCAAAGTGATTTTTTTTTTTGATTTTTCTTAACTAAACAGTGTTAAAATTTCAAGAATTTTGTAAATGTTGCATCATACTCAAATAACGATTTTAAAATATAGGGAACTGAGGCACAAGTATGTGATTAAAAGTCCCCAAGGTTTGTTTACGTTGCTCTTTGATTGACATGACACTGTTGACGATATATGCAAATGAGTTGCTGGCCTCAGTTATGGAGAAGCGATTTGTGAATTCCTGTCCTTGGCTCCTTGTTAAGCGCGATCAACTAGCCTTGCAAACAACAAAACAAAGACAAGGACACTTCCACACAGCGGCGGAAATCTTGCATGAGGGGCGAGATCTGAAATCTAGACACTCTGAAACGCTATTTACTGCATTTGGAGAGGCAGATTTTGCTGACACCACAGTCTGTGCTGACACAAAGGGTTTCAGCTTGATTTTCGGGGGTGGGGGTTGTCTCCTCTTGGTGCATAGGTTTTAAGCTTTTCGCATTGTGGGCGATACTAAAAAAAATGTTTCTCACGCATTTTTTTTCATTTTAACACTGAAGTAAACAATTTTCGTTTCGCTGTAACCGTGTTGATAGCATCTTTATTGTACCATTCACTGAACGAACAACAGGGTTGTTGAAGGTCATGTGACCCAGTGAACAATATTGCAACACTTTTGGATCAGGTTGCATTTTCCTTCCGAGCAAACACATATCACCATACTATACTTGGAATTGCAAAAACACGGCTGTTTTTCCGTGGTCATATATGCTACAACTTCAACACAAAAACATGAGACATTATAATTATAGAAAACCATGCAATATTATTAGTATTATAACCGTCACTGACCAGTTCTTGTGGAATACCATGGTTTGTCAAATAAAGAAAACCGATCGTCTTCAATGCATTATGTACGTCATCTATTAGTTCCTGGAAACACTCTTCGTCCGGGGACTCTCTCTGCAAACCATACGCAGTGAAGTCGATGACAGGGATTGTATGGGCCGCCATACCAAAATGCACTATTTACATAACACCCGTGCTCTCTTACCGGTCAGTGCTCTGGCGTGTATTTTGAATACACAGCTGATTGAAGGTGGTTACGCCCTCAACGGCAATAACTTTCGTCGAACGCTTTTCGTCTATTACATATTCGAACACGAGTAGGTAGGAGTACATCTTCGGTCCCTGTCAATTGTTACAGTCCTACCAGAGAGATATAGAACGACAGACCTGGTTATAGAACTAGAGACATGTTTGTACTTAAAACAATTGTTGATAAATACATTAATAACAAAGTTACAACAAAAAATAGGCATAAAATAAACAAAGTGTTTGTTGGATTTGAAGATTTACAAAAATTAAAGCCTTTGATAGCATATTATAATTTGTTAAAGAATAATATTACTGGAAACGTATATCAGGTAATTAAAAGTATGTATGATGATGTGAGATACAATATAAAATTAAAAAATGGAATGACTAAAGATTTCAAATCACTCAGAGGTGGAAGACAAAGTTGTAACATCAGCCCAATACTCTTCAATTTATTCCTAAATGATTTACCAGGACAACTAGATAAGTCATGTAAAGCAGTTAAGTTAAACAACAATACAATTAGTAGCCTGTTATATGCTGATGACCTTGTCTTTATGTCTGAAACTGAAGAAAGGTTCGTTGTTTCAATAAGTTGGCAGCCTACTTCAGTATGTGGAACCTAAAAGTAAACACATCTAAAACAAAAATTATGATTTTTAATATAGTATAATTTTTGTTAAATTAAATAACTAGAAGTAGTTAAAACTTATAAATATTTAGGAATAGAATTTAAACCAAGTTCGATCTAGCAAAAGAACATTTATATAAGGAAGCATTACAAACTCAAAAAATAATTAGCACATCAACAAATATCAACATAGCAACTTGGATCAACGTTTTTGACCATATAATAAGACCAATACTAACTCATTGATGTGAAATATGGGGTTCAGAGAAGTATACAGATAAAACATATATAGAAACATTATTGATCAATCACAATGGGCAAAACCAATACAAGAAATACTAGGCGAAAGTGAAATTAATAATTATTGGAAAGAGACTAAGAAAAACATACATCACATAAGTGATCAAATAGAAGCAAGGTATGTAGATTTGTGGAGAAAAGCAATTAATTCAGAAAAATCTAAATCTGAGGAAAATAATAAATTAAGAACATACCATACAGTAAATTCAAGAAAGAATTTAAAACAGAGAAGTACTTAAATAAAAGCACAAACCTCAAATCATCCTTTCACAATGTTAGATAACGAAGCAAAGTTTATATAAATTACGGGCAACATACATATAGAACTGACAGTTTATATTAACGAAAGTGCCATTTTCTAAACCAGTGTTATCAGTATCTTTATTTTCATCATTTCTTTTTTTTTGTTTCTTAGAATAGTATTTGACTATGTTCTATTCAAAATGAATAATGTCTATCAAGTTATTATTATTATAACACATTCCCTTTCTTCTATGAACTTTCCAAGGTCAATAATATACATCTATTTATTGACACAACACTGATTTTGAGAAGTACAACAGTAAAGTCACTAATACCACAATACAATAAAAAAAATTGATTAACAGTGAAAAATAAAAATGCATACTTGTTACAAAATTACATTTACAAATTACAAGATTCACTCTCCATTAACATACGAAAATACATTACAATACATATACCGTATAACTATACTATGGGGTGCTGCGGTCTTATTTTAGTGCAATGTTCAACAAGATTGTGATTATACTAAGCTTCATAATCATTTTTTCCCCATTACTATAAATTTGTACTCTGTCAAATTTCCGGCGTTCTTATTCAATTTCTTTCTTTGATCGTTGTAAACAGATTAAGTTGTTATAAAATTGCAATCGTCTTCTACTTCTTTATTTGGGCAAAGATTATAGACTCCTTTCTGTTGGAAATTTCGGTTTCGTATGTTTCGATTTTGCGGTCGTGGTTACTAAACGGAATCGAGATAATGACTCTCGTGTATCAATATTTGTTAGCATTGTTAAATAATTATTCATTTCAAACATTTCTTGAATGCTCTGTATGTCCTCAGTTTGTTTTCCCCTGGTTTGTTATTTTTTGTGTTATCTGACTTTAATTTATTGTTTCAGTGAGGGATGAATATTTTTTTCTACTTTTTTTTGTTAACTGTGTAGCTTAAATTGTGTTTCATTTAAGCACAGAAACGTTTTATTTTTACAAGTATTGAAAACGTCATGGTCACGTGATCGTCATAGCGTATATAACGCTAAGGAATCAAGATAAAGAATAGCCAATTTGAACGAAAATGTTTTCACCCATAAGCGTGATTTCGACGTCGCACACAGAAACGCCCGTCACTAGTCAGTAGGCACGGTTACAGAAAACGTGTATTGGGCTGTTTTCCAGCAATCAAATTAGTGACTAGTCGATCTAAGCAAACCGGGTGAATATACTGGTCAACTTACCATGCTATAAGCACAATAATTCTGGGACGCTCATTGGCTTATTCAATAAATTTGAATG